TTTCTCTGATAATGATGCAGTCAATGAGATGCCAGTGTTTGCGTCGTGGGTGTTGCTACGAACCTAGCAACTTGTCGGCCTGCCTAAACAAGGTATTGGTAATAGTGAGGATGTGTGCAGCACAATTGCTGAGGAAGAATAGGCCGTTGGGATTACAATTGCCTAATCCATTTCTCCCTATGATTCCCTGCCAAATGGCACCATTTCTGCCAACTCTAGAATTGAAGTCACCTTGGATTACAATTGCCTAATCCATTTCTCCCTATGATTCCCTGTTAAATGGCAGCATCTCTGCCAACTCTAGCATTCAAGTCACCTTGGAGCACAACCTTATCTTCTCTGGGGATAGAGGTTAGCACTCTCTCAAAGTTTGAGTAAAAGGCTTCCTTGATGTCAGCCTCTGCATCCAGTGTTGGGGCGTGTGAATTGATGAAGAAGGCGTGACGTGAGTGATTCAGTGGGACTCGAAGCGTCAAGTGGCGCTTGTTGATCCCAACAAGCATTTCAGTTAGCCTGTGTAGGATACATTGGCGGATGGCAAAGCTAACTCCATAAATACGGTTTCTCTCCGCAGCAGGCATACCCTTCCCGAAAAGGGTATTGCCAGACCCCCGTTCTCTGAGTCGACCCTCGTCTGGTAGTCGGTACTTACTAATGGCTGTGATATCAATGTTATATCTAGACAGCTCTTTTGCCAGAAGGGCAGTTCTTCTTTCAGGACTCTCATTTGTGCTAGTGTCCAGATGGGTCCTGACATTCAATGGAGTGACCATAAGAGGTTGTATAGTTCGTTTTTTTTTTATAATCTGTGATTATGATTATGTTTTCGACCACATAAGGATGACCTTACAGGGTGCAGCTCCCCGGTCAGGTTGTTTTTTTAGGCAAGCTATGTTTAGGGCACTTTTTTTTAGCCCCCTCCCATGTGGGGTGAGCATTGTGGGTAATCGAGAGGGCTGCCCAGTCGCATAGACAGGACCTGATTGCACTGCTGCCTAGATTCCAATACATAAATGACCATCTTATCTGTGCCGTCCATGTGCAGAGTTGTGACTTAAGACTCCCGACAGTCATCTCTGCCTGTTCCCATTGCCACTCGTCCACTGCCATAGGTCTTTTGGGGGTATAGGGGTTTTGATGATGATGAGAAGTATGATGAGCTGGATCATAGCTGTAAGTGAGTTAATTTATATGGTGAGGCAGGAACTCAGGCTGCAACCACATATCTTGGCTCTCCGTTTTCCTGATGCAGTGGTGCAAGTGTTGCAACGACTAGGGAGAGGGAGAGTTGCAATGGAATGCCGATAGCTCAGTTTCTTGGGTTTCGCCTTAGTAGTCTGTCAATCAAAAGAACATAAGAATGGAGGAAACTGCAGCGGGCCTATTGGCCCATACTGGGCAGTCCCATTTACACCTAACCCTTATTGCTCATATATCCATTCAACCTATGTGTGAAGCTATCCAGCATATTCGAGTTAATTATGATATTTGGTAACTTGTTCCACTCATCCACTACTCTATTTCCAAACCAATGTTTACCTATTTCGTGCCTAAATCAAAATTTGTCTAATTTAAAACCATTGTTACGAGATCGCTCTTGGATAGATAGTTTGAGTACCTTTGTAATGTCCCCTTTGTTCAGCCCTGACTTCCATTTATACACCTCGATCATATCTCCCCACACTCTATGTCTCTTGAGGGAATGCAAATTAAGAAGCTTTAACCTGTCTCTGTACTCAAGGTTCCTAATGCTCGGGATTAGTCTTCTCATTCTCCTCTGAATTCTTTCTAAGGATTCTATATCCATTCTGTAATACGGTGACCAGAATTGAACTGCGAAATCCAAGTGGGGTCTCACAAGCACAAGATATAGTTTTAAGATGACATCGCTAGTCTTGTAACTAACACTCCTTTGTATGAACCCAAGTACCCTATTAGCCTTGTTTCGAGCAAATACACATTCTTTACTTGGCTCAAGATTCCTACTTATCATTACTTGTAAATCTTTCTCTAAGTCGGATTTCTCAATAACATCGTCGTTCATTTGGTATCTGGTTTCCCTGTTTACATCTCCTATACTGAGTACTTTACATTTTTCAACATTGAATTTCATCTGCCATTTTTCAGACCCTTCGAAAAATTTGTTTAGATCTTCCTGTAGTCTTGCAGAGTCAACGTCAGATTTAATTACACTCCCTATTTTATTGCCATCAGCAAATTTACTTATGTTGCTGTCTACGCCGATATCTATGTCGTTTAAGTATATAATAAATATTAATCATCCGAGTACTGAGCCTTGGGGAACTCCACTAATGACATTACTCCAGTGGGATTTAGTGCCGTTAATGCTTACTCGCTGTTTCCTGTCCTGTAACCACGCCCTAATCCATTTTAGAATATCTCCTTTAATGCCATGAACCTCCACTTTACTTATTAGTCTTTCGTTGGGGACTTTGTCGAAGGCTTTGCTAAACTCGAGATATACCACATTATAATTGTGCCCCTCGTCCACTGATTCGAAAACAGATGAAAAGAATGTTAATAGATTAGTTAGACATGAACGCCCGGTTGTGAAGCCATGTTGGGAATCTATGATCCACTTGTGCTTCTCCAGGTGATCTCGAATAGAGTTTGAAAAGATTGCTTCCAGTAATTTGCCTACAATTGATGTTAGACTGATTGGTCGGTAGTTAGAGGATAGTGATCTATCTCCCTTCTTGTAAATCGGTATTACATTCGCTAACTTCCAGGATTCTGGTACTATACCCGTTTTTAAGGACATTTTTTACAACTTTGCTAAGGGCATACTAAGCTCTTCCTTACATTCCTTTATACTCTAGCAAATATCTCATCGGAACCTGGTGACTTATTAGGCTTTAATTTGTCTATTTGCTTACTAACATCGTTGCTAGTCACTACTATCTCGCTTAATTTATTTTCTTCGCTATCTCCGTCGTTATCAGTTAGCTCGCCGGTATCTGACTGTATTGGTCCAATCTTTTCTCGTGTTTTAGTTTGATATATTTGATAGAATCCCTTAGGGTTTACCTTCGCCTCCCTTGCTATCTTCAGTTCATTACTCCTCTTAGCTTTTCTTATCTTGGTCCTAACCCTACCGGCCAATACCTTATAATAATCTCAGAGATAGACTTCACCACAATCTATTCTCCTACCTATAGCCTTCCTTTGTTCAATAATATTCTTTAAATACATATTTATCCATTTAGGGTCATTGTTGTTTGATCTGATTTTTCTGTATGGTATGTTCTGCCTTTGTGCATTAAGTTACTCTTTATTTAAAGTGTTGTGGAACTCGGCAACCTCACATCTCGTTATCAGGTCTCCCGGTAAGGTAAGGTCGCCCTCTGTGGGTACATTGCAAGAGGTCCCCTCATGTGAGGTCATGTAGTTCACCCCCAAGCGTGATACCCCTTCTCTCAGCTGCCTCTTCAAATTATCAAAGTTTGCCCTTCTGAAATTTGGAACTTTAGTGTAATTTTCCTTGCAGCTGCCCTGAAATTCTAACTGGAATCTAATTTCTTTGTGATCACTGTTAGCAAGTTCGTTCCCTACCTCGACATTACTAATGTGGTTTTCTTTGTTTGACAGAACTAAATCGAGTATATTATTACCCCGGGTGGGTTCGGTTATATGTTGGCTTAGGAAACAGTCCTGGATTGTTTCAAGAAAATCCTCTGATTCTGAGTTACCCGTAAGGTCAATCCAATCTATTTGGCTAATGTTTAAGTCGCCTACTATACAGACTTTGCTATGTGTGGAAGCCCTGCGCATTTCATCCCAAATAATTAGCTCATTAACTTTATCAAGATGAGGAGGTCTATATATTACTCCTGTGATTAATTTTTCCCTATCATCGATTAGTTCTATCCAAAATGTTTCTGTATTCCGTTCTGTTTTTATTGCCTTATCTATTTCACACTTCAGAATATCTCTAACATATATTGCTACTCGGCCTCCTTTCCTAATCTGCCTATTGGTATGGAATAATTTGTAACCTGCAATTTGGTATTCGACAGGTAACTCACGTGAGTCTAGGTTTATCCATGTTTCGGTGAATGCTATTAAATCGATTTTTTCGGTACATGCTAACACCCTGATTTCATCTATTTTGTTTCTTATACTTCTAATGTTTGCGTAGTAGACATTTAAGTTAGTCGTGTTCTGAGTCCTGTCTTTGTAGCCGTTATGTTTTAACTCCCTGCCTAATTTAGTTTTGTCATAATTCCAAGCACTATTTCCCTGTAACCTTTCACTTTGTTACCGGCTCCCACTGCAGTCTCCTCCAACCCCGTGCACATATGTTCCCCTAGAAGTTTAAAGAATTCGACATCTTTTGAACTGCCCTCTCGAGAGAACTAGCCAGGGTTCCCACCTCATCCCTAGACAGATACACCCAATCATGTATTGCCTGTTAGGATGTCTGCCTGATGCGGGGCGCCACCACAGATTTTTCGTTTGGGGTTTACTCCCGTAGTCTTATACTTCCCAAGGTTAATCCACAAGGCAGCGGGGCAGTGGTTGGTAGGCGACAGGACATGTCCACATGCCAGTGGGCCTAAGTGTCGTTCGTCTGGGGCCCACTGCTACTCCGAGATCCCCTGTTGGTTTAGCCTGGCCCCACGAGGCACCCAGTTACTGTGTGTTGCCATGAGGAGGCACAGCAGGAGTCTTGATGGTGAAGAGGCTGTGCAAGTTGCTTCCCTGTTCACAACGAGGCTAGCCATCGGCGGTAGCTGAAAGTGATAGGGAGAAAGCAGTGCTTGCACCTTAACACTAACATAATGCTGCTACTCTAGACGCATTACCCTACCCTGTGTGCACTTACGCGCACACACACACACACACACACGCCCAAACACACACACAGTACATACAGTATTCAACTGTACTTCATACATATAAATACATATACTCAAATCCTTATGATTGTGTCTTCTGTTTAATAATTAGATTAATATTCAATACATGTTACTGTAGAGAGTCGCACGTGGCAGGGCGTCGCTACATGGAGCAGATGATAGCTCGTTACTACAGCGAACCAAACGGAGGTACCCAGCTGTACGTAGGCCAGGAGAGCATTATACCCGGGATCTCTGCCTGGCCGCTCCCTCACGACGCTCCATACACTCCCCAGATTAATCATCTCATGATGGCTGTTGTTGAGGTGTGTTTGGGAATATATTTGTGAACCATTAACTGCTGTCATCCTTCTTTCTCCCTAAATTGAAAATAATAATTTTCATGGGAATATAATATTTATGATGTTTGAATATACTGTATGTAAACCAATAAAACATCCACCTAAGAGTGTCTTTATTCCCGTGTTTCATAATTATATTGACATAAGTATTCAGCATATGTAGTTCATCATTTAGGTTAATTTGATAGTGTATGATATTTGCTTTATAATCATAAACAATTAAAGCAACTTTGTTTGATATATACTTATAGTGTACATTGATTTTATTTCAATACGTGACCTAATGCATTGAATCTACATGAATGACATTAAGGATATTTCCCAAGGCTGGATTATATGAGAAGTGGAGCAGAGACATGTTGGTGGAGGCGCAGCGGCAGAGTCGTGTGAGGCAAAGGGAGTACTTAGAGAAGAATCAGCAGCTGGAGGCATTACAGAACGTGCAAGAGGATTTGCCAAGCACTGACAGTAGACTTAGTGCCCTCAACTTAGTTCACATGCAAGGACCACTAATGCTGCTGCTGTTGGGGTTGTCAATAGGAGGCCTTGTCTTTACAGTAGAAATAACAGCGAGCTACTTCAACCTGAATGTGTGACGGTCTGCAGGCAGGAGGGGTCATTAGTTAGGTCCGTGTGGTTTTGAGTATTTATTTTTTTTAATGTTTGTAAGATTACTAAATTAAAATAAGAACATCGTGAAAATTCATTAACTCAAAACAAATAATAATTGTATATGACATACCAGTACTAAATACTGTACTTGTTTCTTCTTGTAAGTTAGGCTTCTCTATAAGAGTATTACTTGTTCTACCTGCAAGTAATTACTAAATTTTCTTTCTGTTAATAAATTTAAATCAATGGAGTGTTGTTAACCTGAATCATGAAAGAACATATAATACAATCAGTATACAGTAATACCTCTTTTGTGAGGTGTTCTCCCTTTTCATGTTGAAGAAATAATTATAAAACATGAAGAGCAAACGTGGTGTTAGTGTTATTTGTTTGAATAAATAGTGAAATCCTCTAATATATATATATATATATATATATATATATATATATATATATATATATATATATATATATATATATATATATATATATATATATACACACAATCGAGACCTCACCAACCAGGATTAGAACCCTCGACCTCTGCGTGTGACCAGGGATCGCTACCACCGCATGCTATATGGACTAAATGAGATATATGTAACCTCGCGTTTCCTAGCTGGATTCCGTAAAATGCTACTCTCCGACCACATAATTGGCAGGGGCAATCCCCAGTAGAGGTTCACGGCGCTGATGGTAGCACGTTAGAACAGGCTTTGTGTGAAATATAACAAAGTCTAGGATTGCTTTTGTTGTCGTTGTAGCGCTGTGGTAGCGATCCCTGGTCACACGCGTGGTTATCAGCATATACCTAGATCACGCGCACCTACAGTGATTTACTTTCATATATATATATATATATATATATATATATATATATATATATATATATATATATATATATATATATATATATATATATATATATATATATATATATATGTGTGTGTGTGTGTGTGTGTGTGTATGTGCGTATTTAAGTTTCTTTTGTCATGTTACACAATAATATTTATTGCAATAGTATATTGATTAAATTTCTTAAATGTTATTCCTAGACTATATAAAATATAAAATCATAATTTTGACATTCTTCGTCTTAACTCGTGTTCCCTTAGAAATGCTTTTCTTTTTTTATCTGGTCGCAGTGTGTTGTACAGTATCAAGACAACTCAGAATTCGAGCGAAAAAATATTTTGTGTATCCCGTCTCTCTCTCTCTCTAGACAGTGATCATTACGCTTGTGACTCCCCAGAGGATGAGAGGCCACGCCAATCACCTGTCAGTGTTAACGTTCTTACCTAATTTGTACTACTGTCACCTACCGAGGTGCTCGCTGCCTACCCGGTTATTATACTATTACATATTCTTCCTGTACTCCGTTTGTCAACAAGTTTCTGGAATGTGGAAGCTCTTTGTTGCTCGCCTTCACCAGACATTTGTTTCACCAATTAGCGGAAAGGTCACAAGGGGGCTGTACCAAGGAAAGTTGCCAGACATTCCTAGAAGGATAATTCCCAGCTGTTGGGTACTGCTCATGCGTTACAAGATGCTGACCTAGTGTTTAATAACAATGATTTATTTCCAGTAAGTCAGCCCATCTAACGCATTTTTTATCATATGAAAAAATTTGTATTTTATTCTAGTTATCACATACATAATTAAATAAACCAAAGCGGACGTTACACAAGTTCTCCATCAACACTGAGAGCTACGTTTGGCAAACAAGGGAACAGTGACGTCATATAAATCGTCATGAAACGACCTCCCGTTCAATGGATCCTCTGCAGCTAATTTCATTAATTTATCACCTTGTAAAGGTCTTCCACGCTTGCGCCTTATAAACTTATTGTATTGATGGCTGACTCCTGTATGTGTTTTTTCTTTATGTTCAATTGTGTGTTCATGTGACTGTAAGTAGCATACCCACGCGAATTCACACAGTGTGTATATGCACATGACAGTATTCTCTGTGTTTTTTTCTACGGGGACCAGCCCACCCGGGCACAGGTTACACTGACTGTGTCTTTATATATATGCAATTAATAATAATAATAATAATAATAATAATAATAATAATAATAATAATATTAATAATAATAATAATATAATAATAATAATAATAATAATAATAATAATAATAATAATAATAATAATATTAATAATAATAATAATATTAATAATAATAATAATAATGATAATAATAATAATAATAATAATAATAATAATACTGATAATAATAATAATAATTATAATAATAATACAAATAATAATAATATATATGATTATTATTATTATTATTATTATTTAAGTGACTCAGACCATTATAAATTATTTCACAAAATCAGATGTACAAGCTATAATTATATATTATTTTGCAGTGAGACTCAGATGTATATTCTTTGCTAGTAAAACCATATATCTTCATTGTTTTGGGTTTAATTGATTGAATATACCATCCAAAGTTACCTGTGATTAAGTTCAACAGGAATTTGTACAAATTAAAAGCATACCCTCTCCCCTTGTGAGGACTTCAAAGGAATCACATTTTTTTTCCTAACAAACCAAACTCATTGCCTGAACTAACAAGTTTTCCTCTCCCGAACTTGGTATTCCTTTTATTATGATGAGGTTCGTCGTCAAGTATTTAATGTATTAAGCCATCATCTTAAAAAGCATAAACCTTCGTCCTCAAATGGACAAACTATCATCCTCAAAACGGCCAAACAATCATCATAGAGAATTTTGTTCGTAAAAAAAAAGAAAAGAAATTAGTATATTGCTTACAGCTTTCATACAAAAATATTTCCTGAAGCTTTGTCTATAGCCAGAGAAATTTGCTTCATATTTTTTTTTGCGGGCATTAGCCCACCCGGGTACAGGAAATCGACCCACATCGGGGCCTGGGGGCGAAAAAAATAAGAATAAAAAATATAAAAATAGAAAAGAAAAAGATTATATTAATCTATACCACGAAGATGCCGGAAAACCAGCTTTTTAAAGTGAGACGGATTCTATGAATGTGGAAACACAGAAGAAGGCAGAACATTCCATAGTTTGGATGTGTGTGGAGAGAAGAATGTACTATAATGGGTTATTGTAGTGTGACAGACATCCACACAAAAATGGTGGGCACCGCGAGCAAGACGTGTGTTACTAGCCCAGCATAATTACGAAACAGAAAAGCCGTTACCAGGAAAGTACACAGCAACAATTTTCCTGTGTACTTTCCCGGGACCTTAAAAAAAGACCGCTGACCTACCTAACTCTTCTTTTAGTAAATCTTTCTGGCCCTTAACCAAAACAGTTGTAATAACTTCTGCACTCCCTCTTTTCATCCTCCTGGTGCTTATTCCTCTCTAACTCCACCTTACACGATTCCAACTCTACCCCTCCTACTCCTGCTCCTCTTACTGGATCTCTGCATTGTCCTAAAATCTTCAATCGTTGGGTAGCCGGTGTGTTGTCCAATTTGAATAAGAGAAAGACTCATGGACCAGGCGGAATACCCTCTCGCGTTCTGAGGGAGTGTGCTGAAATTCTGGCCCTGTGTTTGCTCGCCTCTTTCGCTTTTGCCTCAAAACCCCAACTTTTTCATCTTCTTGGAAACATGCCTTGGTTCAGCCCATCCGGAAGATGGGTGACCACTCTAATCCCTCTAACTATCGGCTCATTGCCCTAACTTCATCCCTCTCTAAGATTTTCGAATCTATCTTAAACTCTCGTTTTCTCCGTCTTCTTCAACGCCTTTCTCTTTTGTCGGATTAATGCACCCATTTTTGGTCATTTTCTCTTGGGGATTATGGGGAGACATTTGTCATAGCCTTCGACATCACCAAAGTATTTGACAGGGTATGGCACAAGTCTTTGCTTTCTAAACGTCCTTCTTATGTTTTCTCTCCTCCACTCTGTTCTCTCATTTCTAGCTTCCTTGAGAACCCATCCATGGCAGTTGTTGTCGAGGGATCGATCTCTCGCTGTTTCTCTACCAATAGTGGTGTCCCACAGGGTTCTGTTCTTTCTCCTACTCTCTTCCTTTTTTTTATCAATGATTTACTTCATACTGCTACTAATTTTATGCATTCTTACGCTGATGATTTTACTGTTTACACCTCTTCTCATATTTCCCTTCCCCTTAACTCTCAAATTAGATATGTTCCTAGAGCTGATATCGGTTCTTCTATCAATGTGGATCTGTGTAGCATCTCCTAATGGAGAGGTAGACATTTGTTTAAATTCAATAGTAAGAAAACACAGTATTTACCAATTACTCTTTCCAAAATAGAACATCTCCAACCAATCGAATTTCAGAACGCAACCATTTTTACCATACTCTAAATAAGATAGGCTAGGCCTCACCATTTCCTTTAATATACCATGGAAGCCACACATCCACAATATTGGTAAAGCTGCCTCCCGAAAGCTGGGAATGCTGTACAGATGCCGTAGCTTCTTCGATCCTGAGCAGTTGCTTCAGGTTTATAAGGGATTCATTCGTCCTAACTTGGAGTACTGCTCTCAGACCTGGGGTGGTTTTCTTTTTCTGTCCAGCTGTTAGAAAGGGTGGAATAAAAGGCATTTCGTCTTATTAACTATTTTTTTTTGAAGACAACTGACGGCAGCATTTTCAGGACAACTGACGGCAGCATTTTTTTCCGCATATGTGCTCGCGGATTGATGCAGTTTTTCAAAATTGTAAATTTTATTCAATGGGGACAAGTTTGGGGTCTCCAATTTTTTTTTTAGCACAAGAAATCCATTATAATGGCTAATTTGGAGGTATCACCTTCCTTGAATCCAGAAACATAAAATTTTCTCTGCTTGCCTACGTAAGAACATAAGAATGGAGGAAGGAAGACTCACAAAAGTCAGTAGGTGCCAAGAATACCGGGCAGTCCGTTTAACCTATTGCTCATGTCATCGCCTATGTTTGAGCTATTCAGCGTGTTAGGTTTTATGATGTTGTTAACTTGTTCCATTTATCCCTCTGTTTTAAACCAGTGTTTACCTATTTCGGCTAAATCTAAATTTGTGTAATTTAAAACCATTGTTTTGATTAGCTCCTGGTTGGATAATTTGAGTACTTTGTATGTCCTTTGTGTTAGCCTGCCTTCATTATACACCTCTTCAGGTCGCCTCGCTCTACGTCTCTCAAGGGTGCAGGTTAAGTGCTTTAACCTGTCTCTATACTCAAGGTTCCTAATGCCCGGGATTAGTCTTGTCATTCTCCTCTGATTTCTTTCCAAGGATT